AAAATAAGTGGAGCCATCACTTAACTGCTGCATGCTGTCTCCTTCCAGATACTGGAAGGTTAACGTTCAGGTAGAGCGTTCTGGTGAGGGTTGCTGAACTGAAGGGATGGATGAAGGGGAGTCCCTTACAAATATTCAGGTACAACCTTTACTATCTTGTGTGAACCCACAAGCTAGGCAGCTGTGGAAATAAGACTCTCAGCTCTTTTTCGAAAGCGTAGGAGATCCAAGCAGCCTTTCTCTTCATTGACTCTCTAGAGCAAGAGAAAACCACAAGTTTTACATGCCTGAAGCTGGGCAATCTGCATACCCTCAAGAAGCCGAAATTATGCCAGTCTAAGCACAACCCTCCTGTTACCTCTCCTTGTCAGTTAGCACCATACTGTCATAGTTCAGTTGACATTTTGCAGAATACAACTTAGAATAATTGCACTTGGCAGGGCCTAACCAGACAGGCAAAGAAAATATAAAAAATAATACATAAATATGCTTCTTTCATGCTACCTAGCATAATCTGCATTAGAAGAGGCACAGAAGAATAAATTTCCAGTCTAATGCACCATGATCAAAACACCCCCATCATCCCAGTACCTTCTTTCTTAAACTACCTGCTAAAGCATCCAGCTGGGAAAGACAGACCAAAATGTGGTATCTAAAAGGCATTCAAGGAAGACAATGGCACTAGGATTAGCATAGGAAGATGGCAACAGCGTCCCTCAGAGTCTTTGCAGCTTTCTTCCCACCCTCACTCAAATGGAACATGATGGAGGTGGAGGAGACGAGGAGGCCATTTCAAACCTCTTTTGGACTGCTTTTGGCATCGAAACATGCAAGCAAGAGCATTGACATTTAGAAGCCTGAAGTCCCCATAGAGCTGATACACTGAGCAGAGAAATTTCTGGAGAGCAGGTGCGGACACCAAAGTCTGACGGCAGGGCTTGGAAAGCCCTCAGCATCATCTCTTTTTGATGGATTCTGGCAATAACCACACTGTATTTACTGGCCCCAGCCGACATTTTACAGTGAAAGCTGCACTTTTATTCTTCTTTAATGGGTCAAACCCTCAGAATCTAATCACAAGGGGGAAAAAGATCGTGATGAAAGCCCTGTAGTTACCTTGTTAGAAAAATATGTATCCAAGTAAAAGGCATTGTGTGTCACATTTTCCAAAACCACTGTGGAGATTTCTTCTCCACCGAAGCATCTTCAGTTATTGAAGTCTGTGTAGAAAAATACTTCGGAAACATCAGCTCTTCTTGTCTAATTACTCAGGGCAGGAATTTATGAACCAGCCTTAAAATTGTGGCTATTTTCTCCTAAAAATTAGCCTTGAATAAACCATTCATGCACCTTCAATATCATAAACATACATGCATAAAAAAGGAAGGCTTTAGCCTAATTCCCAGCTTTCTGTCTTTTTGTTCAGCCTGGTAACACACAGTACGTGATGACGCACAATTATAGGCAATTAATTCAAATATCTGTGAAAGAAGAAATCACATCTGCAGTTAATAATCTCATGCTTTTTCCAAACCATAAATCATTTTTGTAAACGAAGAGAACAAAGATATAAGAGACATAATTAAATGTGACATTTCCCACTAATCAAACGCTTCCTACAAATGTGCTGATAACATCATAGGACAGCAAAGCTTTCCAAATTGCTCTAGTGTTTATATGATGCTCATCATCTCTCTGAGGCTCGTTAGAGGCAGAGTACGATACCTATTATACGCTACCATAATGCAGAGTTGTCACTGCTAACCTAGGAGGTAATTTCACTGTGCTACTCCAAATCCCATCAATGCCAAACACCACCACCTTGGCTGAAATTATTTCCCAGGTGAAATTGTTCCTTTCATATGCTGAACTGCAGTTGACACTTACAGTCTACTCAAAACCCAGTCTATAATTTCAGGTGCAGGCTCAGACTGAAATTTTGGCCCTCTAGAAGGAAAAGGTAAAACCTGAAGCTCATGTATGAGGTGGGTGACGCTTACTGGATGAGTACAGCCCTCACAAACGCTACCATAGGACCAAAAAGAGCAGAAGCTGAAGTAATAAAGCACAGACTTTGTGCTTTCAAAGCAAGACTTGATTTAGGTAAAAATGTTAATGCCTGGAAGGTTAGAAAATACCATTAAAAAAATCAGACAAACTCTTGTGATCCGTGTAAAAGTAAAAGGCTTAGTTCAGTTCAAAATTATGTTAAAGTTTTCAGTTTGGCAAGAGAAAAAAGATGTCCATTTTGGGGTCCAACTTGGAGGATTTTTTGTGTTCTACTTATTTTTCCCATTTTCACCATCAAAATGAAACAAAACCAAACCATCTGACTGCCTGGTGTTCCTCTATAACACAAGATAGAATTTTACCCTGAAGAATCATTTTCTTCAGATTTAACAAGCTTTATCTTTTTGAACCAACTTCCAGCAAGTGAAAAATCAAGCTTGTGCCTCCATGTCAATATAATAATATTATTCCCAAAATAAATGCAGGTTTGCAGTACAAACAACCAAGACAATTCAGACTGATTCTGTTAAAGAGAGAGGTAGTTTAGGTGCCAAAAGTTAGGTTTGGTTTTAAGTTTGGGGGATGCTGAGAGAAAAAAAAAAAAATCAATACTTAAAGAAAGGCGATTATGATAAAGGTCATAAAATGCATGTGCTTGATATTTGTGCTCTAATTTATCAGCTCACAGCATCTGTGGCATAAAATGAAAAGCCAGCTAAAACTAGACTTGCTTCACTGCCCAATTTGAGCAGGACTTCAGAATAAAATGAAGAATAGATAAAGAAGGAAAATTAAGTCAGTTTTCTTGAGCAACTACTGACTTTTGGTTCCCAAACTGAGACTCTAAGGGAATTTTATTTTCAAAGATGGCTTGGTCATTTCTGAAAATTGAGGGTCTCAAACTGGTCAAGCAGTGCCTCCACTTACTTTTTAAAGTCATATCAGAATTTTAATAGAAAATATTCATAATGAAACAACTTGTTTTATGAGAACTAAGATAGAATTTTTAAGAAAAATAATTTATCTAATAATATTAGGATTTTAAAATACTGCTTGTAAACTTCCCTGCAGTTTCAAGCTATTAAAACAAAAACCAGTATAAAATACTTTAAAAAAAGAAAAAAGAAAAAAAGGAATGGACATTAAATTTTAAGGTTTTGGATTGAGCTCTAAATACATGTGAATCTCAGAATTAATTGTGACAGCTCCAAATGTCAAAATTTCCAGCTGTAGTTACTTAGTTATCAGTTCATATTCTGTTGTTCAATACATATTTCTTGCAACTTATGGATTGTAAAGAACAATATTTGTATCTCTCAAACAATTTTATGGTCTTTGTTCTTCACAGAAATCTTTGAAAACTAGCATTTTGACCTACAGGGAATGATGCGCTCTTTGAAATTTGCTTTTTTCCACTAATTTATGTAAGGATTGTTTCCATACCTTTCAGTTTCCTTAGTACTAGTACTACATTGCTTAAAAAAAACCCAAAAAACCCCCAAAAAACATTTGGGGAAACAAATTAAAAAGATAAGGATAGCTACAGATGAATTTACCAGTTCAAATAGGAAGCTATGTTCTAATTCTGGAAAATTCCAAAGAAATGTTTTTCACTCAGTTTTATGACCTTCTTTTGTCTTATGCCCTGAGCAATCACATGCCATGCAATTATATTTTTATCCAATCTTGCAAGCAGACATGTGCTGACCTTTAAAAAAGATTATAACCCTATCTCATTATGATAGGAGTAGCCCACAGCAACTATTCAAAACAGCACGCACTTCACATGTGAGCTGCGTAAGTCCCCAGAGGATGGGGATCTAAGTAGGGGTAAAATCACTTTAGAAAATGAAATAGCAAAATTACTGTTGAACAATTGTCACGGTTAAGAAGATTAATGATTGACTTGGCCAAAACCCACTCTTATCATTAAATCCACTCTTAATTCACAGGGGGATGTTCAGGAGAAAGAAGTCCTACTCTGGTTAGTAATTAATGTGTGTGGGCATGCCTAAATGGGATCCCAGCCCCTTCAGAGAAAATTCCACACCTCTTCAAATCGTTCCGGCATGTGCTTTAATCACACCATTTTACTACACAATCTGTTGAATCAAGGTCTTGGCTAACTACATCCAAACCCAGTATGTGTTTCATCTCAGTGACTCATTAGACAGGGACAGGCACGTGTTCAGTTGGAAGATCTTGGCTAGAGCCATCAACTGAACAAAAACCACAGTAATGCCACGTAGTTCTGGAAACTCTTTTGGGATTTGTTACTATTTATTTTTGTTAGAGGCTTTTTGATTATGTTGAACCAAGACTGCCTTTTATACAGTGCATTAAAATAATCCAGAAAATGCCAGAACACCAGCACTGTACACCAGCTCACCTGCTGCCTATTCCTAGTGTGCAACACAGCACGCTGCCCTTCTGTGATGGGCTGCATGGTCCCAAGCCTACCATCCTGCACACTGCATAGCCCAACATGCAAACATGAAAAAGAAACATTGTTTGTTAACCTTCAGAACATTATGGCTTCTTATCTTTCAAATACCAAAGCACAGACTCACTCTGAATCTGCTTGTACTGCATCACTGCTGTCTTCTAGGCCATCTTTGACCCAGAAGAAGATACGTAAACCAGGTATTACTAAATTACTTAATGAGAGAATTTGCTCACTCCGTGCCCCCCACAGGCAGAGGTGTTCATCAGCTGTGCACCAGCCACCAGAAGGTACAGAGAAAGCCAGTCCGATCTCTGTACAAGGTCAGTTCTCACTGGCTTCAGACGAAACATAATCTGTATGAGACGCCTGCCTGTGTTAAAAACATCCACAAGAAGTGCAGAATGCATTAAAATCTCACTCAGAGCCTTAATATCCAAGGCAAAGAGTACACCCCTTCCCCACTTTCAAATGGGCAAAATGACAAGATCCTGAACACCACTGAAGTCAGGAGTACCTGTGGTACCCCTCAGTAGTTAAAAGTCTTTCAGAGTTTGCGCTTTCCCATGCTGGATCTCAGCATTAATATCCCTTCCACAGGAGCTCCCGGGCTGTCAATCATCTTCTGCCAGAGGTGCTGTTCTTCCCCATGAGAGTCCATCCAGTCAACCTCCTTGCCATTACTTACACCTGGCAATCACAAAACCATGAGGTAGTTATTTAATACTTGCTCATTTACTCCAACAGCCTATAGAAAGATGACAAGCACTTCACACTACCACCTGTACAGGGAGTTATACTGAAAACAGGTACTTCCTGGAGAGCACCAGTTTGTCATTACACTCCTTTGTGGCACACAGACAGTGATACATAAACTTCCCCACTCTGTACCACAAGCAACATCTCCTGACAGAGGAGAAACGGATTCACACCTCTTCCAGATCACACCATCAGCCGCAGAAAGCCTGCTGCTGGAGAATAGTAGTCTCCTTCTTCTCACTGGGATGCCAGGAAATTATTCCAAGGTATTCCCAGTTCTTCTAGACTGCACAGAAGTACAACAGTCCACTGAATTTTTGTGTCTCACTCAATGGAGGAAAGAACTAAATCATCTGCAGGTTACATGTTGCCTTCTCTCCCTTTTCAATTTCCCCAAGTTCCCATATACCTTCCATATACTCAGTAAGTTTTCTGTCCTTCATACACATGAATCACTTGTGGTAAGGAAGAAGGAGAGCAGAATAAGAAAAGCAATCACTGGACAGATGGAACCTTACCATTTCCAGTGCTCAGACGGACACCTCCCAAAAAAATATTACTAGAGAGCGACTCTTTGTCCCACACAGTTAATTCTAGGCAGACGTTACATATATCCTTTGCATTCAAGCCACTGAAAGCAAAGGTATGATTCCATTGTGGGTTCACACTCTTTTTTATTACAGGAGTTTTGTGTTTTGTAGCTTTGCTGTCATCTGGGAGCAGGTATCTGGGAGATACAGAAAAGGAAAATTGAATATGGAGATGGTATGTCACATAATATTCACAAAGAATTACAATCATGTAGAGGCTCAAATGGGATCAGGACCCCATTTCCCCACTGTTAATAAATTAAGCATATACCTGAAGTGCATATTTTGCATTTGTGCTTCGTTTGTTCTTATAGTTACAATGTCGGTTATTGGCAGCAGAAACTGAAATTAGGTCTCCTTGGCCCATGTCTTGGGTCTTAACCACAAACTTTTTATTTCAGTGAGACTAAATATGGACATAAAAATGTTGGCTAGAAGGGGCCTCTGGAGATACCTAGTCCAGTCTCCCTCTCAAAGCAGGACAGGAGGTCCTCCAGAAAGAGATGGAAATGACTGATAAGAAAGGAACTTCATCAGGTTAGCATCACCAATTTGACTTGCCTAACCCCCCTACTGACTGCAGAAACACTAATGCTGTGAAGTCTTACAAGCTTTTCACATTTTACTTTTAGTAGAGAATTCCTTTAGTGAAACTAAGCAAACTTAATACTCTGTAGTTTCAAAATCAGAGGTCTGTACAAATTTTCATAGTCTGTACCTTCACCTCCTTCAGCAAAGCTAATGGAATAACTATGTGTTTGCATATAAATACCAAAGGATCAGACATACAAACAAGTTACATCACTAGACCTCCATCAGGACTCCTGTGCAGACTTTTAGTTGACAATATACATGAGCTAGTTTACCACAGTGGGCTAACTGTGGGCTAATCAATGTCAAGTTATCTCAAGCTAGCAGTGCAGATTAGACCACTGTGGGACCTCAAGTGGTTCATGGCAACTTGATTCTGCATTTAGCTGTGACACACGACAGACCAACAGTCAAAGGAAAACAGACTCCTGTTCCACCATACTGAATAATCCATGTCAGCAACAGCAGAGACCACTATCTAAAGATAGTCTGGAGAATTACTGGCTACGCATTGCTACTGATAGTGTAAAAAAGCTTTGACATTTTCCCCCTGAAGTCTGTTGTGAGTTCCAGGTGGGAAGAAGCCAGCAAAAGGAAGTGCCCTCACATATAGCAGGAAAAGAGAGGTGGCATGAGAGAACAAAAACATAGGAAGAATAGCTCAAACTTTTTCTACATGAAGTGTGTAAGCTTAATGATAAGTTTGAAGCACACTACAAGATAAATTCTCAGCTCTACCAAGGAATCAAAGGCAGGACGTTTTCCATGGTCACCATTTAGTAACAACACTCAAACCATTACTAATGAACTACAGCATATCTAAAAATCAGCAATTCTGACAGCCAGCATGAGAGCAAAAGCTATCAAAGAAAATTGTTTTAAGTTATCCATTATTTCCTAAATTTAACATTTCAAAAGCATAGCTCACATTTATGAAAAAACCAATATAATGAGGCATGCAGGAACATGTTAATTTTATTCAAACACAGACATATCCTCTATGTAGCATTTTCTATATATTCTGGATTTTGACTGCCCAACACTAAGTGCTGTTATCTAGTAAAAAGGTGCATATGTCATACTATATATATTTTTACATTCCCACACGCATACAGGCATATAAGTGACACAGACCTTAAAATTTTCAAAATGATGCATCTTTAGAATCAAACCTGAGAGCCATCAGAGCAGAATTTCTAAACATCTTCTGTCAAAGAATATTAAATGTTAACAATGAGACACAATTAAGAGTTAAGACACTATGTCTGAAGTCAGTCATAGACTTCCTGGGAATCCTCAGGATTTAGATGTGTGCCTTGACACTGTACTACGTGCCAAAGAGCTTTCCCAATTAAGCATTTGAAAAAAACTTCCAACACTATTTATAGCATATGAGAGAAAAATCTTTTCTCATTTAGCATATTTACTTGAATCCAAACAGAATCTCCTCATGCACATAATGAATTTTCTCTTTCTGCATGTTTCAGGTGATATCCATTAGAAAGCACCTCAGCTTGGTGGAGCATGCCAGCTTTTGTAGGTGCTCTTTGCAGTTTCACAAGGAATCCAAACAGACTTGTGTCTTCCTGAAAACAAGTTTCTTATTCAGGATGTAGTCTGGCTATTCATCTTAGTAAAAAAAATCTGTACTGTTTCGGTTTCCTGAAAATGTAAATGTCACCATCAGATCAGGTATGACCTCCAGTGTGAGAGCCCTAATTTACAATTTCTTGCCTCTAGGAATGATGAATATTCACCTATGTCTCTCTGCCGACTCAGTGGAAGTGTTTCCTTTTACCAAATATTGTGTTCTATAACAGCGTGCACATTAGCACACTGGATACTTATGTATGAATTGAGTAAGTGGTATGGATTACATACTGATTCTTGACTGAAGGCTATTTAAATACTGTTCTGTTTAACCACTGGGACAACTCACATTTCTCTGCCCTTATCCCACAACATCCTTTTCTTCACCATTTCAAATTGCCAGTTGCTTTTCAGGACTGACACTCCATATGCATATGTACAGACATATTGGAAAAAAAATGAGTCAGCCAAAATATAATTCAATGCAACCATTAAAAACATGGGGACAAAAAACCACAGACCCTTTCACAAAAGTGTCAGATGTGCCTCCTGATTTCACCGCTGTTAAATTCTTTGCTTCTTTAATGAGGACTTCTAATATACCACCAGATGGCACGTGAGAATCTCCCTTTTTTTCTTTTTTAAAGCTCTTCTTCCCTATATATAGAACAGAATTGCAACATCATCATCATCATCATAAATTATATATACACTACAAGACTGATTTGGAAATGTAAGTTTTCTTGGCTAGATTCTTTCACTCATCTCCTGCAATGGGATTAAAGTATTTCTTATGAGGAGATTCTAATTCTCTATGGGTAAAGAAACTAATCAGGCAGGGGCAGAAAATCACTCCATATTTGATAAAGAATTTGACCGTGTAACTATTTAGCCCTTGCTGGACACACCAGGATGCCCTACCTTAGGCCTTTTCCAAATACAAGCATTTGTGGATTACTGTGCCAAACACAAAGAACTCCGTGTCCTGTAAAACCCACCACCTTGTAAGTATCCACTTCCACCACTGATGTCAAGGCAGCCCTACACCACAAGCAAGGTATCAAACCTCTGTCCCAAAGCTTAAAGTGCAGAAATACACTGCATATATTCCATGTGTAAGGCTGCAGCGCTCCTTGGAGACTGTGACAAAGGACACGGTGCTCACTGACACGCTACTGCTTTTGAACAGCAGCGTGAGGGCAGGCGTACTGGCTGCTGCTGCAGATTCTAAGAGGCTTATCAGCAGGGACCATACACACTGATTCAGGCTGAAAACATCAGAAAAAAAAAGATCAGGAGTGATGTTAAAATGTACTAATTAAAAAAAATGCAGATAGCATGTATCTAGCAATTAGCTTTTAAGAGAGAAAACCTTGGAAAACCTTGCTAGCAGAGGCAATCATCTGTCAAAAAAAGAAAGGAAAAGAAAAAAAGTCTAATACATCTGTCAAATCCTAATGCTAGCACGCAACACTATCACTAAGACAGCGCCACACCTGTCCCGTGTATCTGTGTACACTCAGGTACTACCCAGTCATTGCTTTCACTTCAGATGATTACTGTTCCTCAAGTTAGTACAATGCAAAGAGTTAGTTAACTATTTTCCCCTGTTCATTGTTGATGAAAATAATGGCTTACCCTAAAGAATGCAAATATTTTACAGGACTATACTGCAGCAGTAATACAGTAAAACTGAGCAGAGGTAAATCAGTGTCAAAAAAAAAAGTGTGAAAATGAGGAGATAGGTGAGCTTAAGGACAATCAAGCATGAAGAACTAAAAGTCTACTACTTCAACCAGATATACACTGTATATAACTAGCTGAAGAGAGAACCCACAGATTATGATGCAGACAATTCATTTCTACGTGGCTGTCCTCAATCATGTTATCTAATGTCTGGATTTTTTTAACCAGGTCACAGCCATGCATGAACACTTGACTGCACACTCCTCTTCCCTTCTCTCCCCGTAAATTCAAGAGCAGAGGACACAGCAGGAGAAACACACTCATGGTTCAAAATTTCCACAGATAAAGACACTAACATATTGAAGTATGATTTCAATCTTCAGTAATACCATTACTTCACCTTAGGTGAGTTTTTTTAATACTCAGAGGAACGTAATCATATGCTGCCATTAATGTTTGTTTTACCTTGAAACTGCCCTAGAGGAAGCATTAGGTTTCTGTCTGGGGGAATGTAACGTAAAACAACTGTCAGTTCTCCTTTATATTGAAGCCCAGCATCTGTCACAACCTCCACCTGAAACAAAACAAACAAAAAAACCCAGAAATCCATCTAAGGTTAATCATTCACCTCCTCCTTTTGATTTTAATTTTGTTGTACTAATATAGTATTTGAAACACTTCTTAAACATATCAAGCCCACTTTCAGATAATTAGACATTCCAGATTGAATGCAATCACATTTCAGAAAACTTTATGAGCTAGGGAATGCAAGCTCTCAGAAGAATAAAGCCATGTGGCATTAGACACTGTTCACTGAACATACAGAGGAGAGAGATATCTAGCATGAATAAGTGAAGCAAAGAGAAAATAAACCCCAAACTTATTTCTGCACATATAAACTATAGCAAATTTAAGCTGACATTCAGCCCTTATTTACCCCAGTCAGGATTTTAAACTGTAATTGGTTTCGTGTATTTCAGACGAGTCACTCCTGAGTCACTCCTTGAATAGAAGTGTGGGGAACCAAGGCGAGGAAAGAGAGCAGAGTCCAGCTCTGAAATAGAAAAACTTCTTGAAAACTGTTAATTCCAGTGTCTTTTTCCTTTTCAACACATCTACTCTTTCTGCATCTTTTTGTTCTATAAATGTTAGAACCTGGTCCAGAAAGAATGCATTCAGAGCTCTTCAGAGCATCCTTGTCAAAAGAACATTAAGCCTTTACTGATGTGCTGAACTTCCATTCGCACTGTAAGAAGTTGGAAACTACATTTTAAAAACAAGAGATGCAACACAGAGGAAACACGTTATGCCAGTTCAGAGAGACTTCTAGAAAAATAAAGTACAATAAAAATGAAATCTTGTACATTTACATTAGAGATCAAGTCTACGAAAAACTCAGGCATGTGCTAACCTTGCTCAATGATGTCCACTAATGGCAGCGGGACTACTCAGATGCTCACATTTCCGTACATGCTTTAGTGCTTAGGTTTGGGTACAAATCAACAAACCTTCCTGATCTCTCAACAGGGACAAAGCACATGTATAAAGAGAGAGGACCCTTGAGTGCTGCAAGACACACACCAAAGTACCATACAACCCCGCAAAGAATTGCCTATAGACAAATGTCTAATCTGTTACCATATTTCTCCGAAATGTATTCAGCTTGTCTCCTGACTCCTCAAGAAGGTCAAAATTCTATTATCAAGAGGAAACAGAACCAAAAAACCCCACCAGAAATACATACAATGATATGCACAGTCAGCACTGCCTTCACATCACGGACTCTAGGCTAAGGCACTAACCATGCTTAGAGGGGCTGAGTCTGTACACAAGGATGGGACAGGTAACAAAGCCATTTTAGTGAAAACAACATGGCCCTTTTGTGTCTTTGAAACACTTTTACAGCAACACAGGCATTACTGC